CCGGGAACAATCACATGGATTTAGGGCTTATTTACTAGCAACCTCCAACCTCAGTTGGAAGGGGCAGCTTTAGGAGCCTGTGCAAAGGACAAGAGCTTCACGTGTGAAGCAGTGCAGCCTTCCTTTTTTTTTTTTTTTTGAGAGTCTCACTTTGTTACCCTCAGTGGAGTGCAGTGGTGTCATAGCTCACAGCAACCTCTGACTCTTGAGCTCAAGCGATTCTCTTTCCTCAGCCTCCCAAGTAGCTGGGACTATAAGTACCCACCACAGCACCCAGCTATGTTTAGAGATAAGGTCTCACTTCAGCTCAGGCTGGTCTCGGACCTGCAAGCTCAGGCAATCCACCCTCCTCGGCCTCCCAGAGTGCTAGGATTACAAGCATGAGCCACTGCACTCGGCCAGTGCAGCCTTCTTTAGCAAAGGGGACCAAACCGGGAGCGGGGATGGAAAGTGGGAGGTCACCAGCTGTGGTCACATGTGGTCAACAGCTGGACTGCACTTTTCTAAGGGGCAGAAGACCCCCGCATTTGCTTTCAGTTCTCTCTTTAGTGAGAGAGCTCATGCCTGGTGAACATTCCCAAAGGAGGAACAGGACCTGGCTGCCTATAAACAACTTTTGCAGGGCGGGATAAAATGGCAGGAACCAGTGGCACACCCTCCTTGAGGCACCAGTCAACACGTCCTCAACATCGGAGGCTTCAGGGTGGCAGCGTGGTCACCCGAGCATCCAGTCACATTGCTAACAACAGTCACCTCTGCTGCCTGTTCAGGACCAGCATCCTTATCTCCCCAGACACCCCGCACGGCCTGAGGAGGTGGCTCCCAGCCCTAGGGAGGTGAGAGGCTCCAGCAGCATCTGAGCTCAGTTGCATCCCAGACAGATGAATATTAATCAGGTATTAAACTGTATCGTTTCTATCCACAATGACTCACTTTAATGTTCGCACTGCTGGGAGACAGGTAAGACATAGACACACCCCTGTTCTAGACGAGCACACAGTCGAGAGAGATGTTAAAGCCATTTGCTCAAGGTCAGGCTCAGACCAGAGTGGCCATGTGGAAACAGACCCCAGGAAGTCCTGACTTGACCACAGCACTCTCTGAGGTCCTGCCGGGCCTGGCCTCCCACTGGCCCTGCTTTCCCTCCTCCGCCCTCCTCTTCTCCCATGTCTTAGCCCCTCCTCACTGCCCCTTGGACGGTGGCCCCCATGGCCTCCCACAGAGCCCCACAGGAGTGGGCACATCCAGCCTGCCCCACCCCCAGGATCAGGGTGCAGCAGGGCGAAGTGGCTCACCTCGGAAGTTCTGGCTGAACCTCTTCCCGCGGGAGCGGTCCCCATGGCTGCGCTGTAGCAGGGCCACATACTGGGCCCTCACGTGGGCAGGGATGGCCAGTTCCCCCACGTCCACCTTCTCCAGCACGGGCACCTCGCTGAGGTGCAGCTGCTGCAACAGGCTGCCCAGGAGCTGCTCCTCAGTCAGGGCCGCCCCGGGGCCAGCCAGGGATAGCATCCAGAGTGCCCAGCAGAGCCACAGGGGGCACATGGCAGTGAGAGCAGAGTGGGTACGTCCCCTGAGAAGGTTCCTGAAGGGTCTCAGACCCAGCTGGGTGTGCTGAGAGCCAGGGCTGGGCCAGCTTTATAGCAGCCCCTAGGCTGGCCTGGGGTGGTGGGAGGGGGCAGGGAGGGAGGTCACACCTCTCAGACCTCCTGTGAGCTCAGCAGCCAGACAGGGCCCTGAGCCCTGAGGAGGGGGTTGTCTAGAAAAGGCAGGGCTGTGGGGACTGTGGACAGCTGACTACTGCTGTCTAACTTGGCTTGGGGTGGCTGACCACTGAAATTAAGAATCTTGTTTCCTGGAGTGGAAGTTGGGTATCTAATTCCCTGCTGGAGAACCCATGCCCCTAGTTGCTGGTATGTGGTAAGCTGCAGTTCTACTCCCAGAACTGACCAATCAAACAATCCTGGGAACTAGAACTGCCCAATCGACCCCAGGCCTCTCTGACTCTAAAGACTGCACAGACCTGTAAACTCAAGGACCTGAGGTGGTGCTTAGAAGGTCCTGGGGTTGATGAGATCCTGATCTGGCGGCCCATGGTTGGTAAACCCAGTATCTCCCACTGTTCCTGGGGAACTTTCCTAGGCAAGGGAGCCTGGGAACATTCAGCGCCAATGGGATTTTGTCCTCTCCCTCTTCCCTGCTACTCATAGAGTTAGAGTTTAGAGTTGAAAGGAACATCCAATCCACCCTCTCCCCTGATTTATTTATTTATTTATTTATTTATTTCAGAAATAGTCTCACTTTATCATCCTCGGTAGAGTGCAGTGACATCACAGGTCACAGCAACCTCTAGCTCTTGGGCTTAGGTGATTCTTTTGCCTCAGCCTCCCAAGTAGCTGGGACTATAGGCACCCGACACAATGCCTGGCCATTTTTTTGTTGCAGTTTGACCAGGGCCTGGTTCGAACTTGCCTCCCTCAGTATATGGAGCTGGCGCCCCACTCACTGAGCCATAAGCACTGCCCTCTCTCCTAATTTTTTAACTGAAAAAACTGAGGCTCAGAGAGGTGTCACCTTCTCTAAGCTCAGGCAGTTCATGATCAATGTCCACTTAAAGTTGGGTCTTCCAATTCCAGACCACAATTCTTTTCATACTTTCCAGCTATTGGCAGCCTAGTCCTGATCTGATCACCTAAGGGAGCCAGGTGGACTCAGTCCAGGTGATCAGGGCTGGTCTAGGGTAGGGGGAAATCTCTTAGTCTCCTGAGGGTCCCCCAAAACACAGGCCCCTATTCTGAATATGGATTTGTGGGCTGGCGGAAGAGTTTTGCTGTGGAAATAAAATAATTAGGTGATCAGCCAGTATTCGAGGTACCAGATAAAATACAGAACACGGTTTGGGACGTAATTTTGCTAAAAGTTGATTTGTTTTTATTTGAAATTGAAATTCTTTTCTTTTTGAGACAGTCTCACTATGTCTCCCTCACTTTTCACAATAGAGTGCATGATGTCACAGCTCACAGCAACCTCCAACTCTTGGGCTTAAGAGATTCTCTTGGTGCAGCCTCCTAAGTAACTGGGATCACAGGCACCTGCCAGAATGCCTAGCTATTTTTTTGTTGTTGTTGCAGTTGTCATTGTTTTAGCTGGCCCAGGCCAGGTTTGAACCCACCAGCCTCGGTGTATGTGGCTGGCACCATAACCACTGTGTTATGGGTGCCGAGTCCACAGTCCTATATTTTTATTTGCTATATCTGGCAGCCCTAGCCACCACCAGAAAAAGAAAGGGAATGTGAATTTGGGAGACTGTTTACTAAGGGCTGAATTGTTGTCTGGCAGGAGGGCATAACCCTTTGTTATGCAGAGGAAGAAATGGGGCTGCTACTCCTACCGCTACCTGCCTCTGGCCCAGGTCAGGCTTGGGCTGGTAAAGGGCTCAGAACCAGAGCATCTGTGTGAGGGAGAGGGGGGAGGAAAGGAATAAGGGATCAGTACCCTGGCCCTGGGCTAGAGGTAAGGGCACTGTGGCTGGCCATCCTGGGGAGATGGATGACAGAGCTTGAGGTGGGACGGCTGATGAGGACAGGCACCTTGTACTCACAACCTCTGCCCCCAATCCAATCAGAGGCCAGGTAAGGGCAAGGAGAAAACATGAGATCAGAGGTCATCCTTGCAGAAGTGGAGCTCCTTTCAGGTGAGAACACAGCATCTGGGGTCTCCAGAGTGGTTGCTGCTCCCTTCCTGGGCAGGGACATCACTGTGAGCGCTCAGGAAATGCCCTAAGGCCAGCCCCAGATGCCCTGAGCTGTCCCAATCCTGCATTACTCACCTCCCTGACCCTGGGCCTCGTGGCCCATGTGGCCCCTGGAGTTTCCAGACATGTTCTGGGTGGGCCTTGCCTGCTCCCTCCCCTACAGCAGCTGAGACTCTGGGGTCTTCAGGGCCAACCTCTCTTGGGGATCCCTGGGGGAGGATAGGAGAGAACAAAGCAGGAATAAGGACCCAGGTAGTTTCCATTCATCCAGACTTTTCTTAGCAAGAATGTGTTTAAACCTTAAATACATATCATTCACAGTCGCTAGCAGTGTGGCCTCTGAGGGTTTTCTACCCTGTTCAATATAATATGAGTTTCCTCCTATAAAATGAGAATAATGTTCTTTTACCGCAGTGTTGGTATTAATAGAAATATATATACAGAGTGCCTAGCATAGCCTCCAGGTATAGAGTGGGCACGTGATAAATGGTAGGAGTCTTTTATATTGTTACTAATTATTAAAATGTGTAACTTTTAAAAAACATGTGTTGGCTCGGCACCCATAGCTCAGTGAGTAGGGC